TATTTTTGTACCTTCCATTTCCCTTTACGGGCAGTAGTTTGAAGCTCCAGGAAAACCAATATCGGATAAACACTTGTACATGTAGTTAATGCCGGAATCGCCGAGTCTATTAGCAATCAAACGATTTTAAGAAAAAAAAAACTTTCTAACTTGGGTTTTTTTTTGCGTCAAACCACTCTAACAAAATCTAGGTTTACACTTGAAAAAAAATTGAATATCATTTATTCGCCCAATTCTCGAATATATCGTTTGGGACTCTCAATATCAGAATTTGATTAATAAACTTGAAAATATCCAGTTGATACGGCGCGTATCGTCACGAGGGGGGTTACTAAACTTACCAGTATTAATAATTCATATGTGGAAACTCGATGGGAAAAATTATCCGATAGACGACGCAATCATAGATTAATCACAAAATTTTAAATAATAAAACTTCAGAGTATTTAATAGACTTTATACCCGATTCAGTGGGAAGTAGACATGACCATTATACAAGACAAAGAAATAATATTACACACGGATCCGTTTATATTCTAAATATTTTATCCCAGTAACAACAAAACTATGGAACACACTTAACTTAAAGATAAGAAAATGTGAATCTCTACCATTATTCAAAAAAACAAATTCGTACCCAAAATATTAAGGTTTCAATGTATTACTATGAAGGATATCGTCTTGGTCAAATTCTCCATGCTTGCTTAAGAGTGGATACATGTTCATTGAATTTTCACCTATTCCTTCGTAATTTAGTAGAACTGTCGTTGTAGTGATGTAGAAACAAATGTTTATTTCCTGTTATCTTGCCAATTATACACCGATTTAAGACATGAACAATTAGCTTCTGTTTCAGTTTTTCCTGTCCAAGTTGACACAAAAAATTTGCTTTTTGAATCAACGGTACTCTCAGATTAGCAAAATAGTCATTTATTTAGTTTGGTGCAGAAATACATTACCAAAAGCAAACGTTTTAACCTTTGATGTTACTGCTTTATCATTCAATAAGAACCCAAGCATTTAACATTGTATACATTACAAATGTTTTTTTTTTGTCTCTATCGTATTTTTCACATTTTTCATATTTATATATTTATAACAGAGCTTGCCAGTATTTCTATATATGTATTGTTCAATCAGTGTATTATTTGTGTAATAGGAGACAGATTTGTGAAAGCAAATTTGCTTGTTTCTGAATCCTAAATATTTGTTTCAATTGTATTATATCGTCATGTTATGATTTATCGGAATAAATATTGTTTAAACCGAAAAATCTAATTGAATGACAAAAAATAAAAGGTGAATACTATTCAATTGTTCGTTAGAATAGGTCTAAGAGAAAACTAGAAAAAATGCAGACGAAATGTGCGCTGCGTGATGACTTGTTTTAGAAATTAAAACGAACCAATTGTATAAGTTTTTTGTAAAGTAAGTTTAACAATTATGATATTTAATTGACAAAATGAAAAATAGTTGACAAAAAGGAAATGTGCAAGATGTGGTACGTCAAATTACTGATGCCTATGTTTAAATCATAATTTAGTTCAGTGTATTTCATCCTCATACACTCATTTATATACTAGTATAATATGTCTTTCCCAACAGTATTGTGAAAATCAACTTGAAAGAAATACCCCCTTAAAATGAATAAGGGTTGTTGAGATATTTATATTTAGAAAAAATCTCAAAATAAATGAGTATCCATCGATTTGCACTTTCCTTTTATATTTTTATTTGAGGGATTGATTTATTGATATTACTTTCTTTGCGAACGTTCAGTGGCAAATATTTCATGCATAATCAGGACGATATGTATATGTTGTAAAATTATAATAACATATCTACGTTTCGTCTTCAAACCTTTGTAGTCAATACAATGTTCATCATTACATCTTTCCTGTTTCGTTGACCTTCGATATTTTTATTTTATGTTTTGTTTACTTCCCGACATATTTAATGTAGTATATTATTCTACATTTTCAAGCCTTTTACAGAGTGTCAGTTACTTTTTGTGAAGTATGATTTAAAATAAAAAATATATGTAAATTTTTTGAAATATGGAACACGGAAAAGTATGGAAACTGAAGTACATTTTTAGTCATATTAGTAAATTCAAAATTGGTACTTCTATCTAAATTTATGTACCATAGTACATAAACAGAAAATGATGAAAACTTTTCTTTCAATTCAAATGGGTTTTTGAATGCTAACAGTAAAAGTCTAATCACGATATTTTAAAGGGTACATTGCTTGTAAAATTTCAGTGCTTCTAGTAAAGAATTATGATGGAAAACTGACATACAACTACTGAGATGGCACAATCTTATTGTGTGGGTCGCCCATCAGGCTGGTGTTTGCTCTTCGAAGATACTGTTCGAGAGTAGCAAAACCTTGCAAAGCCATATCTGCTAGTGCAAAGAATAAAATATTGGCTTCAATCAGAAAACAGAAGAGACGGTGAATACCTTTTTTATCATTTATACGTAACTGTAAGATGGCAGACAAGGTTTTTGTTTCAATTCCATACAGATAAACAAAAGGGCCATTCAAGTCTTGTTTCAAACTATATATAAGCGAGGTGCTGTTCATCCTATGAATTGCATGCTAATATTTTCACAGCCGCACCGGTCATAGGATCAGAAATCAATGCAATGTTTCCAATAAATGTTTTACGCTCGAACTTTTCAATTCAATTTTATGCAAAAATAAGGGGAAATGCATATGATTTTTATTTGATCTCTTGAAGTCAGGAATTTGCCAGTTGTTTTTCATTTGTATGATGTGTGTGAGATTCTGATTTTACCATTTTGATAAGGGACTTTCCGTTTTGAATTTTCCTTCAAGTTCGATGTTTTTGTAATATAAATGTTAATAGCTTCAGAAAAGTTATCACTCAAATAGATTGAAATTCTACTTTGGGTCACATTTTACGGACACTTGTAACATTGTCACCCCTTTTAGCAATATTTTGTATCAAATAAATGCAGATTGCATGATGATTACACCAAAAAGAGATTATATTTTACCATTTTGACCATTGGAAATAAAATCTATGGAAGATGCTGTTTCAATACATATGCAGATAAATTACTTTCAAAAACACGAAAAAACTATTATGATAAAAACATTTATTAGGCTAATGATATGGAATCACACAACACAACAGTTAAATAATAATAAAAACAAATCAATTTAAGAATTACCAAGATAGAAATTCAAAAATTGTTAATACATAAAATTTACCCTAAAGACCAGTAGAAAACAATATAATGTAATACACATTTATTAAAACAGCACGAATGGGCGGGTTAAAAATGTTCTCAAAACTACAGAATTTGTTGATCGACGCTTCAAATTGAAATTTGAAAAATAATATAAAAAGAACTAGGTGAAAACAAAGCTTGGAGCGAAGAAAAAACGTATGTAGTTTAACAGATAAATGCAAGTGAGAATAATTCAACTGATAATCCAATAAGAAAAGTTATGACAAACTTAGGAGGACAAAAATTAAGTAGCAATAAATAAACTCAATTCGTTAAGAACAGAAAAACAATAATAAATCCGCGAAAAATTAAGATCTAGCAAATTTCTTTCTTAGTAATTAATCATTTTTATTAAAAATTAAAAATACCACATGAAAATAACAGTGAGCCTAATATAATTTGCTACAATGCAAGGGAAAGAGGGTGGCTAAATATTATGAGTGTCAATTTTAAATATGTTTTTCTATCTGTGTATTACTATTTCACCTGTCGCATGTCTTTTGTAAATCGCCTTTGCCGTCACGTACACCACCAACAAAGAGGCACTGCCTTGATCATGTTGATACTCGTCTTCCTGGGCGGTAGTTAACCATAACGTGAGATGCTCTTAGTATGAATTCCATGAACTACTATCATATCCGTGTTTTACTGGAATTTTCACTGTTGTTACAAGGACAAGCTTTGTTGCCATTTTCGGACTGTGTCATTATTTTTATCAGATATTCCATTTGCATTAACATTTATTAAAAACATTGTAAATTTAAAGACTGTTATACAAACAGCACTTTAGTGATTTAATGAGATCGGAGTTTTTCTGTGCCTAAGGCGCCGGAATCAAGATAAAACAATACAGAAACTTGCGACGAAGTACACATTTTATGTATTTATCGTAACAGCCCTAGGCCTGATGTATCCACTTAAGGGATTATGTTATCGTAACAGCCCTGAGGTATCCACTTAAGGGATTCTGTTGTATTGAAGATTAAAATTGTAGTACAAGTTTTATTTTCCGGTTTTCATCTTTTTGGAATGATATAAGATTACAAGTCTGCTGCTGATGGTTTTATCTCAACTTAAACCCAAATCACTTGTATATACTTACTGTGTCGAGCAAGTACAAGCCTTAATAGGAAGCAAAATATACTGTTAAAATCAAATATATTTATATGTACCATTTAAAGAAGTTAGAGAAGTTTTATTTTACTGATCACTTGTCAAATATTACAGATACACACTTAAACAGGATACATTATATAACATACTTAAGAGTTCAGTAACATCTACATAACTTTCAAAGGAAAAGATTTAAAAATTGAAGATTTAATGTGTTTGTAATAAATATAAAAATAAGAAGATGTGGTTAAGTTTCTTTTGCAAATATGTTCTACACAGTTAAGAGTAAAAAATAAAATAAAAATCAAACTATTGCTAGTGTGATGGATACATTAGTTTTCTTAACTATCCAAAATGATCTATGCGTCGCTAAGTGTAGGCAAACTACTTCAGGAAAACCTACGATATACGTATAGGCATTCAATACAATGCCGCTGTATCCTTATATATTTTGATTCATTTCAAATCATGTTATGTTATAACAGTTTATATAGCTTATTGTTGAAGGGTAGTAATTTCTTTTTAATCATACAATTTATATGATAAATGTTACATAACCTTTCATCGAATCAGTTACCTGCACATGCATGCCGCAACAACCAATTAAATTACAATAAACCTACACAACACATATGCGCAGATTAAAGAAAACATATTTCTCGACATATTTAGGTGTACGTTTTTTGCGTACTGGCAGTGAAATCTTAAAATGAATTTCGTTGTGATGTTGTTGAACATGCTTGTTTTCGGTAAGTTCAGTTTAATTCTTATACCAAATACAACAATTAGAAACAAAAGAAATCTTTCTTGTATGTACTATCTCATTATGTCTTTCCTATTTTATGAAATACAAATGTGCTATAGGAAATAAACACTACAAGGGAAATAAACTTTTTTGCTGATCTTTATCTTAAAAGTAGTCACAAGGCCTTCAGCGGTGAAATAAGGAGCCCCCTATACACAAGACATAAGATGATATGAACGTACATCAGAAATCTGTTTCATTTTTTGAATCATACTTCTATGATTCACTCGTTCATTGTTCACGAAAATATAAATGGATAAACAAGATAAATCAATATCGAAATTTCAAACGTAATTTTCACATATTATTAATATAGTACAAATATGTTTATATGTAACCAATTGAGAATATTTGCCTGTTAACATTATATATAACTGTTAAGTTACTGCTTTTTTTTACTTACATGATAATGGCTCTGGTCTAGCTGTGGTTTAAGAATTTAGTTGATTTTATTCATATTTGTATATGATTATCAAAATTACTGTGTAATATCTTAAAATCATTGTGATAAATTACTTTGCTCTTCATGGGATCTTAAATTGGAATAAGAATATCTTATCCTATCTTATCTTATTGTTCGCCAAGTGCAAGATCAAAGTTTGACCTTTTCTACGTGAAAATAAATCAACGTGAAATATGTTGAATAAAGTACATGTTTTAAGGATCTACCGGGTAAACAATGACACTGTGGTTTGTGTGGGTTTCCGAATGATAAAGTTTAAAAGACGTAGTAAGATTATATAAGAAACTTCTTCAGTCATAATGGTTATGCACTAGAAGTGTGACAGAACACATCCTGATTTTTTTAAATCAAAACTTTTTTTATCCTTTTTATCCTTGCATTTTATACCGCTAACTTTTTAAAATATGATGTTAATTTCAGAACTGAATTTTCTATAAAAGGAGGGGACTGAGTCTTAAAAAAGTCTTTTTTGATTTCACAAGTCCCAAATGCGAAGATTTTCGGTGGCTATTGAAAGAAAAGGGACTATGTGATAAACGTTACTGTAACAAGACATAAACCTGAAGTCACAAAAAAAAAGAAGAAAAAAATAAATGATAAAAAAATGATAAAAAATGAAAACAATACTTTATAAATTTCAAATTCGAATCGCTTTTCTGGATTTACCGTCACCAGCAACGCTCAAAGCCAAATATTTGAAAGCCAAGGATGTATAAGAACGGAAACAGTTGGAAATCTATATGACCAAAAAGGTCCTAAACAAGGCGATCCATCTAAGGTCAACTTTTCCCGAGGGAGTTGAAACCTTAAAATTCAAATTCAGATATATTTTAACTCGCGTGCTCGTATATGAGGATAACGAAATGAAAGATCTACTGTACATTTAAATAGATTGAGTTTCTTTATGATTTAGAAATTTTTAAACGGATAATTTTAGAAGGGTTTGTTATAAATCGTTTCAGGGTTGTTTTTATTGATATCTGAGTTGTTGTTGTCATTCAAAAAAGGCGTTTCATATGTTAAGTTTGATAATCTCAGTGCAATGCAATGTCTTAATAGCTGACATGTGGTAATGAAACTTATCAGGCCTCTTGTGTCAAAAACTTTTTCTGAACCTATTCCTAAATTTTATTCTAATATGACGTTCTTCAAACGCTTTGAGTACACACCCGTGGTAACATATGAATTTATTGTATGTCAGGGGTAACATATGAATATATTGTATGTCAGGGGTGCGTTCAATATCATAGCTGCTACGTTGATTTCGACTACTGAACGTATAACTAGCATAGCCTCTAAATAGATCTAGATAGCCTAAAACATTCATGCTATCTAGAGAATCCAAAATGGTGTCCGATAGGTTATTATTAATGACGTCATGTGGATAGCCTAGCTATTTAGCATATCGTTCAACATAGATAGATATCTAGGACATATAGGCTTTCTAGCTGCTACGGTATTGAAAGCAACCCTGCTGATCGGCAACGTCATGATTTGTTTCGATCATACTCCCCTAAGTCATATGTTTTTTTATGAATGAGGTACCCGACGTCAATCGGTGTAAGACGTAAGAATATACGCATTTTACGGGAAAAGGCACGATTGTAAAACTGAAAGTCATCAAAACAAGGAAACATAAACAAACGATGATAAAATTTGTTAAAAGCCATTTTTTTTTACATAAGTAAGATTATCATTTAAATTCATCCAAATCTATCTAAGTACTTTAGTGTAAATATTTTAAGCATGTCACTAGTTCATTTTTCTCCGTTCCTATACGTCAATATTAAAAGTGTGTTTAATTTCGAGAACAGCAAATGTTTGCCTTCAACTAGAGCGCTTCGATCCAAACGAATTGCCGTATTTGTCCTATCAGAATAGAAACATTCATATGGGCTTGAATTTATATTGATTTTACCACGGTTTTGCCCTTTATGCCGATATTTGACCCCTCTCTATCGCTCGTGGTAAAATATTTATCATAAAAGGCCAACCCGTGGTAAAATCATTATAAATTCAAGCCCCAATGAATTATAATTTCTTAATTAAACGTTTCACACAATCTCTCATACATATTGTTATAGTTTTGACTAATTCATGTAAACACATCTATAATAGGAAAACAAAGAATATAGGGTAACAAAAATATGTTTACATTTGTAGTGATCTTCATTATAAGCTGTATTAACGGACTGGATTATGCGTCCTTTGACAAAACAGCCCATGCCTACTGCGCAAGTCATTCATCTGGTCACGTGTTTGTATTGAGGAGGGATTGTGAGAAAACCACAAAGGACTGCAAAGCAATTTGTACAGAAGCAAAAGATGCAATAATTGGCACGATTTACCATAAGAAAGACACGTAAGCAATATATATTTTGTGAAATAATTTTACCATGGCAATAAAGAGGTAAACAAAGTAAGAACATAAAAATTGGGCAATCAGAAACAACTATTCGAAAAACTTCTGACATATAGATTCCACCACTGCATCAAGAGTGTTACGATATTTCTCCTCTCTAGACAGTAAAATTTTAATATTTAAATCGCGATGCTTGCCGATCTTTTTGAATGATTAAAATTTAACTGTTGAGAGCGGAGAAATATCGTAATACACGATATAGTGTGGAATCTGTTTCTCTAATGATTTTTAGACGATATCTAAACAATGTTTATCCTTTCTTTTCAAAAATTTGCAGAAAGTTGTGTTGCTTATATGTGACGTCGTCAGGCATAATCGCCTTTTTCATAACATGAAAATAGGAAATTCAAAAGAAAATAAGAAAATCTGACGTGATAATTAAATTTCGACGAATCATTTGACGAGAACAAAGTTTTCTCTAGGGATAAGAAATATTTTTCTCACATCGATAGAGAAATGTGAAAAAAGCATGAAAATTAGAGAAAACAACATAACCAAATGACAAAAGAGGAGGAAGCAACTCTATAGGAAACAGAATATTAATTAAAACGAATCCAATAAAAGAACGATGAACGCATGTGCTCCGGAAGGAATAACCGTTAATTCCTGTTACATAATTGACACTGCCGTGTATGTTGCGAATGGTAGGTAAAATCCGTTGGCATATCGCAGTCGGACATGTCATAAACGAGAAAATGTGGAGTCCCCACGTTATTGTGGCTACGACAAATGAAACATATCAATAGTCATCGGTGACACAGATATCCCAATCAAATCCCAATGTAAACAGGCGGAAACCCAGTTGAAATTAAACAAAAGAAACGGAACTCTAAATTAGCATGAATAGAGAAGGTAAAAAAGGCCAAGTTGGTAAATTTGAATTGTTTACATCTGTTTCTGTGGGCTTTAAAAGTTTAATGAATGTGTATAATTTAGAATTTTATGCATCTTATATATGTGTTTTTACTTAAATTATGGTATGGTACTTCGAGATATTTGTAAACTTTACAATTAAAGACAAATTTTCACAAAACAGTCGATTGTGGTAGATGCAAATACATGTGGATCTTTTTTGTGCATAATAGATATAAAAAGATGTGGTATGAGTGCCAATGAGACAATTCTCCATCCAAATCAAAATTTATAAAAGTAAACCAATATAGGTCAAAGTACAGTCTTTAACACGGAGCCTTGGCTCACACCGAACAGCAAGCTATAAAGGGTCCCAAAAATTACTAGTGTCAAACCATTCAAACGGGAAAACCAACGGTCTAATCTATATAAAAAACGAGAAACGAGAAACAGCATGCATTCTGCCGAAAAAAAATTCCAAAGAAAGATAATAGATTGATCTTTTTAAAACATTTTTTTCAAAATATTTTAATTTTATTAAAAAAAATCCCCAAAATGGGCAATAATTTCATCAAAAAGAGTAAGTCGAGTACACCTTTTTAAGTTCAGGCGTGTTTGAGTTGACTATTCTGTCTTGAAAACGTATAAAAAAAATATTTCATACATCATCTCGATTCAGATTCAGATTTTTTAAACATTTAGGCTATAGGTGGATATAATAACATTAAAAATATACAGTACTAATATTATAAAATATATGTGTCAAGTGAAATACGTTTCTAATGAGTCAAAACAACAGTGAAGGTGTGTTCGAATAACAATTTTTTACTAAAAGTACTTGACGACAGACTTTAAAGTCTGTATGTGCCTGTCCCAAATCAGGAACCTGTAATTCAGTGGTTGTCGTTTGTTGCTGTGTTGCATATTTGTTTTTCGTTCATTATTTTGTACATAAATTAGGCCGTTAGTTTTCTCTATTGAATTGTTTTACATTTGTCATTTCGGGGCCTTTTATAGCTGACTATGCGGTATGGGTTTGGCTCACTGGTGAAGGCCGTACGGTGACCTATAGTTGTTAATTTCTATGTCATTTGGTCTATTGTGGAGAGTTGTTTCATTGGCAATCATACCAAATCTTCTTTTTATATTAACAAGTGGATCTTAAAAATGCATAACTTCAAAAAAACTTTTTTTTGTGTGTTATCTAGGGTAATTAGTCTTCAACCTCTGAACATTTTTAGTTTGCCCTTTCACGAAATACTTAATTAGAATTTTTTTTAAATACTTTCAATTTTCGAAAATTCCCCCTGACAACCGATCAGACAATAGTTTTATGTTAACCAAATGAATAAAAGTACATTAAATGATGCGCAATAGCTAGTAGATACATTGGTCTTTTAAAATACAACTGGTTTATAAGGATCGTAATTGTAATGAAGCGGGTACGAACGTTTTATCTGGCGCCAACCTTCACCCTAACCTGAGACAGTGGTGTAACAATACGACATAAAAGGACACACTATAAAACATTAATTGAAAAAAGGCTCAACTCATCAAAGTATGAATACTAACAGATTTTAGACAAAAGTTAGAGCATGAAAACCAAATTACCAAATAGTTAAATTATAAACCACAGAAAAATATATCAAAGCCAAAACCAGTATGAAAGAATTTTGCCAAACAACCGGTCACTTATGGACCACTCAAAAAAAGCTTGTTGAGAAGGATCTTTAACGTGCAAAGAGCGTGGTACTCCCTGAACGCGGGAACTCGGATTTAACGTCCCCATCCGACGGACATTACCAAATACTGTATATCAAACTGAAACTCCACACACAAAAAACTAAAACAAGAGAATTCTGAAATATTCGTCAATCGAATATAGTATTGTAACACTTATTGCAGGAAACTAGTAATTGTTTTTAGTTCACCATGGATTGTTCAGATTTGTTTCATTGAGCTCAAATTTTTTAGAACTTATATGCCTATATTTTAAACATTTAGGCTATAGGTGGATATAATAACATTAAAAATTTACAGTACTAAAAAATGAAATATATGTGTCAAGTGAAATACGTTTCTAATGAGTCATAACAACAGTGTAGGTTTGTTCCAATAACAAATTTTTACTGCATGGCATATGGCAGTTGTTATCAAATAGTCCGTTTCTATGTATGTTGGCGTTTGTTTTTGTTACAGTTCAGTGTTTCTGTTGTTCCGTTGTTTTCCTCTTATTGTTGGTGTGTTTCCCTCGGTTTTTGTTTGTAACCCGGATTTGTTTTATCTTAATCGATTTATGACTTTTGAACAGCGGTATACTACTGTTGCATTTATTTACATTAAAATTTTGAAAAAAACAGATCGTTGTATAGATACGACCAGTAGTTTTGAAAAAAATATTTAGGTACTTAAATTTAAAGATAAAATTTTTTATTCACGCACTGCAAATGAGATGTGAATATGACCAAGAATATGTAAAATAAAACAAGAAAATCGATATCTATTCAAATATCATAACTCAATATAAGATTAGGCAACCATGTAACTCAGTATAAATAATAAGCTTTAGACAACCATGTCACTAAGTATATACAATAAGCTTTAGACAATCATGTCACTAAGTATAAATAATAAGTTATAGACAACCATGTCACTAAGTATAAATAATAAGCTTTAGACAATCATGTCACTAAGTATAAACAATAAGCTTTAGACAACCATGTCACTAAGTATGAAAAATAAGCTTTAGACAACCATGTCACTAAGTATAAATAAATAAGCTTTATGAGATGATTTTTCATTTCCCATTGTTAATTATCCGTTTTTAGATGGTGACGTTCTCTTGTCGCAATCTTATGGTGTTTATATATCTCAACTTGTTCGATTCGCTCGTGTATGTAACAACGTATTTGATTTCATACGGGTTATGTTCTTCTCATATATTTTATGATGGTATGATACTAAACCCCTAACGGGAGGGATTGTACTTGATTTTCATATGATGAAGACATAATCGTTCAATCAGTTTAATTGAGGTCTGGAGCTGGCATGTCAGTAACTGCTAGTAGTCCTTTGTTCATTTATGTATCATTGTCATTTTGCTTAGTTTCTTTTGTTACCTATTCTGACATCGGACTCGGACTTCTTTTAAACTGAATTTTTACTGTGCGTATTGCTATGTGTTTCTTTATTCTACATTGGCTAGAGGTATAGGGGGAGAGTTGAGATATAACAAAACATGTTTAACCCCGTCGCATTTTTGCGCCTGTCCAAAGTCAGGAGCCTCTGGCCTTTGTTAGCCTTGTATGTTTTTTTTAATTTTAGTTCATTGATATGTTTTGGAGTTTAGTCACCATTCATTCGATTCCTTTCGTCTTGCCATTTATTTTATTTGCCGCCAAATGAACAGTTCTGCTCCTTTGTTGCATGCCTTAAACTTCTTTTTTTTTCAATTTCAGAGTGGTCTGCTTTGATGCTTACAAAGTTTACACAGACCAATACAATTCCAGTGATGTGATGCAGACAACTGGTTTAGTGGGCTTCCATACCTATGGGTTTGGTCCAAGAGGATGCACAGGATCACCAAATCACTGTGGACCTAACTACTGTTGTTGTGTGGCATATTAGAGGAATTTTTGAAATTTCTTCTGCAATAAATCCTTAAATTTGTTATACAAATAAAACAAGCTATACCATTTTTTTGTTCCCATGGAATGCCTTTTACATTTTAAAAACTACTCTGTTCTTTATTATACGAATGTATATATTGTATGGACACTTCCCGCAGTCATTTTTTCACTAAAAGAACAAATCATAAAACAATGAGAATTTCGATGGCGTTTTGAAATATTAGTATGGAAAAGATACGTTTTGTCTTTGTCTTTTTAAAGTTATTTATGTTCTTCGTGTCTATATGATGAATCACACCCTTTCCAACAGATTTTTAAAGTTTTTGATCTTATGTTGTGCTGTTACACATTGTCCCGGGTTAGGAGAGGGTTGAGCGCTCACAAACATGTTAAACTCTGCCACATTCTTAATTTGCATGTCCCAGGAACCTGTAATTCAGTGGTTGTTCGTTCCTGTCTGTCATATTTGATGGTCTTTCATTTGTTAAAGCATAAGTCAGGCTGTTAGTTTCCCCTTTTGAAATATTTTTCATTTTTTCTTACCAGGGTCTTTTATAGTTTACTATACGGTATTGCTTTCGCTCACTGTTAAAGGTCGTAAGTTGACCAATAGTTGTTCACATGATATATATTTAAAGATTTCCAAACATATGTACAAGCATCCATTCGATTCTGTACAGATGATATATCACAAACTTTACATTTTTTGCATTGAAGATTATCCGCATAAAATGAAATATGAATTTGAAAGATAATATTGATTGTAAATGTACACTTTGGAAAGATTTTTTGTCGGTTTTAGTTATGTCTTTTCTGTTGATATTTCAAAGTATTCTAAACATATTTGAAATCTTTTATAATTTAATGTTTTCGTGACCTCTAAACATTTATTACTTTTTTAAATATCGCATATTGTTCGAAAAAAATCCCAAAAGTTCACACTGAAGTGCACGTTCTTAAACTGAATCTGATAATTTATTTCTTAATATTGCACGTTGGATTTTATGTTGTTAGTAACTAAATTTGGCTGACTATATTATTACTGAGATACAAGGGATAAAACATAGATACTTCTTCAATTTCGATGATTTATATTTTTAGTAAATTTTATAGGAATATTTCAGTCAGATTAGACCTAGCTGGTATGGTTTCTGAGATGAACAGATTGAAAGGTGGATAAAATTATATATACCAAAATTAGTAACTTTATTTCATTTTATTTTGATTCAGATAGATTTTTCTGAAAGTTTTTCTGTATCGCGTACCGTCTCTGAAATGTTACTTTTCAAAAGGCAAAGAAGCACAATTTTTTTTGTGAATTTTCATATTAAGGTAGATAGGGTGTCTTCCTCCATCTTGGATTTTGAAATACCAGAAAACAATCGGTCTAGATCTTTAATTAAAGGTGCAAATTTTGAGAGTATTGGGTAATTTATGTGTAAGAATTTTCATTTTAATATAGAAAATGACATATTTTATCATATTTATGGTTGTATTTTACAAAAAAACAGAATACTTTTGTTTGATTCTATTTTTTCTAACTTTGCCACATAAGGGGAGGCAACTCAAATGTAAGGGCAGATAATTCAGATAAAGTTACTTTTACAATAGAATGTGTTAGGAATTTACCTATTTTATTATGTAGCAAGAAAACGCGTCCCGTGACCCCATTTTTTCTTTTTCTTATCTGAAAGCATACTATTAGAGCTATCTTCTCATATTTTATCTCAAAATTCTATGGTGCAGTTTTCGTTTTATGGCAAAAAATTGGGTTTTCCATGCATAATCTATACAAAATCTGTCAATTTTGCACAACCTGTAGCGTGAAAATAAGCCCCGTGACCCCTTCTTTTTATTTTTTTTTTTTAAAAAGCATGATATAAACTACATTTTGGCAAATTATTAAAAAATTCTATGGATTATAATTTAGACACCCCATCTACCTTAAGTCTTATTTTGATGTGTATTCCTCACTGTGAAATTCTCTGTCTGTATTTTTAATATATTAAGATTTTCAAAGTATTGAGTATAAAAATCGTAAATTTAAAGTTTAGGTTAAACAAAAAATAAAGATTTTCTGTACTTTTTACAGTACTGTTTTTGTGCAGACTGAATAATTTCGATCAGAAAACGCGCCTAGAGGAATCGATATCTAAAGCATATCGAAATAGAACCTTTATGGGTACCTGCTTACAGTTCTCCTTAAAATCGTTCGACCAATTGGATTTTGATATCGTGCATGAACGAGATGATCTCATTATACCAGTTAATGATATTTTTGAGTGAAATAAAAAAATCGTGCATGTTCATGCTATTTGTCATTAGGTCGACTACAGTAAAATCTTTACGTCTTGACTGAACTTAAAAAAACCCAAAGCGGATCGGCAAGATTGATAGTTACACTTTTGTGCTTATTAAAAGGCAAATTTGGGCTATAATTATTAATTTGCATATAACAATATTCCCTCGAACCATCAAGACAATTGACACCATTCTTTTAACACCATCCCACGCGTTTATAGATTCAAAACAATATCTGATGTTTCTCTGGATAACATGATGGCTGCTGATATTAATCAAAATATATCATCAAATCGACAAAATGAATGGTTTTCGCAATTTTTTATATTTAAGTCGCATTAAAAGGATTCACAGAGAACATTGACTTTTGTTCCTGTTGACCAACTGGTGACCTGAATATTGGTCTCGGACATGAAAACATCTCATGAAAATACCAGTTTGAACCCCTAATGTGAACATTAGAGATTTTTTTTTGTGTTTTACTTTATTGTTTAATACAAGAGGGACGAAAGATACCAGAGGGACAGTCAAACTCATAGATCGAAAACAAACTGACAACGCCATGGCCAAAAATAAAAAGACAAACAGACAAATAATAGTACAGATGACAAAACATAGAAAACTAAAGACTAAGCAACACGAACCCCACCAAAAACTGGGGGTGATCTCAGGTGCTCCGGAAGGGTAAGCAGATCCTGCTCCACATGTGGCACCCGTCGTGTTGCTTATGTTATTGCAAATCCGGTAAATAGTCTAATTCGGTAGGTCAAATTCGTGAAAAGGGAAGGGTATTGTAGTTACGACATAAGGAACATATCCGATATCATCTGTGAAACGGTCAACCAACTCGTGATGGCGTCCGTAAAATTTACGAAGGGTTGATTTCAACTTCAACATTTGGAACTCTTGGTTTAATAGCTTCCTTGTGAGCAGCAATCCTCTATCAAGGAAATCATGATAGACAAACCAGGAAATACAAGCCCGGGAATATCGTATCAATTGGGAGATATACTCCGTATGCAGGCGCTGCTGAAATGTTGCTACATAGAAATGGAAAGTTCACAATTGGGAAGCTGAAAAGATCTCTTTTGTCGTAAAGTTTTGTTTTCAACCGACCCTCATTGTCAATTTCTAGATGTAAGTCAAGATATGAGGCAGACTTAACTGTTTCTGTAGTATCCTTTATCTGTAGTTCAATGGGATAGATTCGTTCAACATAGTCACCAAATTTTGTATTATTTAGTGAGAGAACATCATCTATATAGCGGAACGTAAAGTTAAAGGATATTGCTAACTTTTTATCTTTCTTCATAAGAAGTTCCTGTATGAAGTCAGCCTCATAATAAAAAAGAAACAAGTCGGCAAGAAGAGGGCACACTTGGTTCCCATTGGAATTCCGACAGTCTGTTGAAAAACACATCCTCCAAACGTAACAAATATGTTGTCAATCAAGAAATCAAGCATCTTGATAATGTCAGTTTCAGAGAATTTTTTGTTTGAATCAGAGTGATTCTTTACAAAGTAGGATTTATCCCTCCCCAAGACAAGGTACTTGTATCTACGTTCGCCATTCTTTTTAATGAAACAAAGTAATACCAACTCTTTCAATTTGTCTTTTAGTTTGGAATGGGGAATACTTGTGTAAAGTGTAGAAAAGTCAAATGTTTTAATACTATTGCAAGATGAGAGAGTCTTAGATTGTATGTACTCTAAAAGATCTTTGGAATTTTTTAGTATCCACATCTGATTCACGCCACCTCTAGAATAGGCAGTTTGACAATAACTTTGGAGCCCGGCTTTGATTGCTGATAAAATAGATGTTAATAATTTAGAAAGAGGTTTCGTGGAGCACTTTGAAGACCCAGCAATATACCGTTGTTTGTAAGGACACTTATGTAGTTTAGGTATCCAATACAGTGATGGAAGATCCAGTTCTTCATCTTTGGTTGAAATTCCAAAGGAACATAGAACAGACCTATGATTATCCAGGATTTCCTCTTTGATAAGTGTCGTGAGGGTATATGTTGGGTTTCCAAATGAATTGTCAATACCTAATTCATTTATCAAGCAGTTTATGTAATGATATTTACACACAAAAACGATGTTGTTTGGGGCTTTATCTGCGGGGACAACAACATATTTGTCATGATGGTAGGACAAGTGTTTTGCAACATTTGGGTCTTTAAAAATTGACGTAGCGTGGGTATTGATAGACCCATTTAGTTTCTTAATTCGGATTTGTATCAACGACCTCACAGCCTTAATCCATTCGGAAAGAGTATCTACGTCTTCTTTCTCGCGTTTAGCCCATTGCCTGGCATAATCCTCGACTGAATCCATCAGTATTTTGAAATTGTATTTCCAATTGATGGATTTAGGCTCACGATATTTCGGACCTTTGGATAACAAATTTCGCAGGGAAATGTTATTGACAATGTTGAGGTCTCCGGTAATAACGTGGCCAGACGGATTATATGTGAATTGGGAACTAGCACAGGTGCAATCAGGAGGGTTAGACTTGAAGTCGTCAATGTTGAGATCCTGCAAAACGTGTTTGTAATTGAAAATTTTAGTTGCAATTAGTTTGGAATAGGTATAAGAAATTATTGGTACAGACTGATCTTTAAAATAAGGAGGTATTTTCGACTGAACTAATTTATGATGAAGGATATTGCCTAAGTTGACGTCATCGAGACCTTTGTTGGCAAAGGAAAGTTTAAAAAAAGATCTTTTCTCTTTTTCATCTTTTCCAATGCGAACTGGTT